ACTTCCGTTTAAATCTTGAATAAAGTGTCTTTCAAGTGTCGCGTGCACGCGCGGTAGTTTACCTAAAATACGCCGTAATGTCCATTAGTTGAAAATGATTCAGCACGAACGTCACTTCGTAAGACTGTCATACGTGTCAGCCATTGCCGTGCATTTAGTTAGCAGTTTAAGATATTTATTGCTACCGGGAATGCGAGCACGGTGTAGTTTTTGAAGTAACGAAATTATCTTCGAGTCATTCAGTGGAAAATTAACCAACGCTATCACGATAATTTGTGTCCGGATCATTCTAAGAAGTGGTATTACACATTTTTATTTAGAAATTGTTAAAAATAAAATACTTAGCAATTTATTGTTCGCAAAAATATTATGTGCTCTTCCACTAGAAGAGTAAAGGAAGTTTCAATAATTTCTATGGTTTTCTCGAATACTCCAAAGGAAAAAAAAATAAAGGAAAATACTAATGACTCTACTCTGGTTGTCACTTGGAGAGCTAAAGTTGTTGTCTAAAAATATATAATTCATCTAAAAGTATAAAATTTATTCAGTTGTCTAAAAGTATAAAATTCATCTAGAAATTCTGTTATATATATACTTAGATTATATTTAGATTTTCACGATTATTACGATATGAAACAATCGAGATTCTACAATTTTTCAGTTACATTTATGAAGCATATATATACTGTATTTTAAGTCATTAAATTTACATCGTACATAATAACGTAAATTTTTGTTCCATTGGTGCAGCAACAAATTTACTAAAATTTGTATTCAGATTTTTATATTACATTTTACATGACATATTGTTTTAAGCAAATTTTAATCATTTTTTCTGTATTTCTTTTGTATATTTATTTCGTCATTCTGTATGATATATACAAGTGCTATATGAATCATTCATAAAAAGATGCAAACTTTACAAATCGACTAGTAAAGTTGCTAAATTTATGTACATCTGACTACAAATAACATCTGTCCATCTGACTACAAATTGTCCCACGGAGTCGTTTTAGCGATAACCCGTCAAAGTTCCGTAGATACCTTGTACATTAATTGAAATATTGTCTAAATGCTTGCGTTAGAACTAGAAGAAAATTGATTGAATTTTGTATTAAATATGCGTTCTCTTCATATCATGAACGTTAGCATCTTATTTCCAGCTTCAATTTCGAAACTCATCAAACATTCATCATTTTTAGGAAAAATTGTTATAATATTAAAAAAAAACATACAGACATTACACGCAAAAGAATTAGAATTATTGACCATTTAGTTTTTCAAATACAGCCGTAACAATTTGTGATTATACTCCCGATATTAAAAAGAAACTAAACTCCAATGCAAGCATTGGAGAGACGGATTGTGAAAGAAGCAGAATAAGCAGCACATTTATGTACACGGAAAAAACAATTCTGTTGGTGCAACCGAATTTTCGGTTGCCGAGGGGTCAGGCGAAAACTCGGCTGTAGGAACAGAAAAATTCCTTTGAGGCTTCTGTATAGTCAATTGTTCTCAGTTGCCTCAACCAAGTTCTAATATCATTGAATGTTCAGACGAATATTTTCGGTTGCGACAACAGAAATATTAGTTTTCATGACAGAGATATCGCTTCTGACCACCTAATTTTCAGTTGGTTCCTATTTGGTTGCTGAAATTTTTTTGCGTGTAGGTGCATATCGGATAATGTCTCAACTAAAATCTCTGTGTGGTTATTGTACGCGGATTTCGAGTTACTCAGTTCCACTATGCCAGTTCATCCAGCGCTGGGTGCGCGAACGCGGGTCTGGTTTTTTGCTGGACTTGGTTGAGGAGATGGTGAAAATAAGGTTATATTTCAACACCAACAAGCTGATTTTATTTCGGTTGTCCAGGCGACACGAGTGTTCTTTCTGGTCTTCTAACCGGGTGTGCCTCGCGATAGAGTTCACAATTGTACACGAGGGCCGAGATGAATTTCAATCGTATTGACTCGAGCTAATGTCGGATGTCGCGAGACAGAGCTTTAATTGCGCGAGACTAGCTTTAAGTTGATCTCGTCGTAAAGGCTTATCTAACGGTTAAGCTCCCTGCTCGACCATTTTATCATTTTCACTCTGACCATGCGGTCCGGTTTCATTGGCTGATTGCGAGAATATCGCGGAATCGACGTTGGACACAAGCGATGATTTATTATGTTCGAAACTCGACCCGACGAAGGAAGGGATGAGACATCGATATTATGTTGTGCTGCCGATTCCATGTAATCGAGTCGGGATTCGCTGAATCCTGTTTTGATTTGGACGCCTTTGTTTGAGCTCGACTCGACAGCACAACAAATCATCAGTGCGGCAGTATTGTTCTATGTCTCATAACTCTCTCGAGTTAATAAGATTAGAGCGCTTGAATATTCCAGAAAAAATCTGAATTCGCCGAGCCGAATCCCGAACAGTTATACTGTACAGAATAGTACGCAATATTTTCTTCTCATATGAAATTTGATCTTCGCGCCTATAGTATTCAAAAGATATATCATGATGCGCGTAATGTGACTCGCTAGTGGCAATTTAGTTATCGCCATAACGCTCTCCCTTTTTCCTGCAAGAGACATTCTGTCTATACCACGATATGACGTTCTGCTTCTACACATTCAAAGTAGCAGCTGTTTAAAACCTGCCTGCCTGCTCGATACAAGTTATTACGTAGGCCGTAGACGGTTGCGTATAAGCAACGTCCGCAGTAAAACATTGAGATAAGACCTAATTAGCTTATCAATAAAGGATGTAGAGAAAAGAAAAAAAGAAAAGACGATGGTAATTACTGTACGCGATGGTAATTACTGTATCACATCGAAGGGAACGAAATTGGCAAAGAGAAGTTCACGTGTGTATTACTATCTTTATAGATATGTAAATAATTCCTAATGTTGGCTGGATTCAGTAAATCATGTTTAATTTTGCTTCCCAGATAAACTTTTATGATTATCACTACGTAAGACAATCGATGATGGAAAGTTCACAATTTTCCTAATTATAAAGTAAATATATTGTGTACTTAATAATCATAAGATCATAAGATTTCATCATGAATACATCATGAAATTATGTAAATTTGTTGTTACATTGATGCAACAACAAATTTTCTAAAAGTTATATTCAGATTTTCACTTTGCATTTTACATGACATTGTTTTTTGAACAAATTTTGTTAATTCTTTTAGAGTATTTTTATTTCTGCAATCTTTACAAATCGACTAGTAAAACTATCAGAACATTCTTCATGTTATACTTCTAACTGATGGTTTAATTAAAAAGACAACACAGTAAAATTTCACTGAAAAAATCAATTGATAATAACAACTGTTCTTATTGTTGATGCAGTTTGCAAACACGGATAGTGTCATTGTACCCAAATACGTATGGAAATCAGTAATTTTATCGTTACAAACATGAAAAGTTGGACTTAACACAGTGCTCTCTAAATTTCTTGGAGTGAAGTTTCACTCAAAAGGAGTGGATATTCATTCTATGTCGTGGAGTGAATTTTCATTCGACAAGTGGAGTGATGGCCGTTACTCGAATTAGAGTGACTTTTCACTCGTGTGGAGTGAATTTTCACTGAGAAAAGTAAATGGTTCAGAAACAATTCATGTATCATTATAACAGTCATTTCCACCAGTTAATAGCAACGGCTCAATAGGTACAAAATAAGACTCAAAAGTCAGAAATTCTCAGATCTCATGTGGTCAGCGAATTTTTCTAAAATTATAAACATATTTGTAAATGGAAATAATTAAATGGCATACCATTAAAAACATTGCAATAACTAAAAAAATCACTGGCAACCACAAACACTATAGAACTAGAGATTTTCCTTTTTATCTAATCGTAAAAATTCACTTTACTTGGAATAAAATATTCACTAGTTGGTGTGCAATATTTATTCTTATGAAAAATGAAATGTCACTCCATTTAAAGTGACAGTATTTTCACTATCGCTTGGAGTGAATATCCATTCGGTTGTCACTCTATTTTTGGAGTTAGATTTTCACTACAAAAAATTTAGAAAGCGTATAACGAATTTGTAATATATGAATTTTGCGGTGAAACCTTGCTTTCATTGATCAAAATTATGAGATATAAGATGAAATAGTAAAGTGGGAGTGTTTTCATTAAAAATTAATAGATATTCACTGATTATCGGTGAAATGCCTTTTTTATTGTTTTAATTAGAAATATTTTTACTGATTCACTTTAAGAAAGTATATACGTATATTTGACAACACAAATGACTGTTTACACGACTACGATTAGTCATGTAAAGAAATAAAGTATATACACGCGGTGTGATGTCACGGCTGATTGTCTTCCTTGTGACTAGTAATTCTTATTTCTGCTTAAATGCGTATAAACAGATACACGAAACGGATTCAATGGTTAAGTAAATGGATACACGCTTTCAAGAGCACGTGTTGTATAAATATTGCGATTACTTTATCATACGTATCTGTAAACGTATATACTAAATAAAACGTTAAGTTAGGTTAGATTAAATGTGCAACATAGAATTCTAGTTATTATTCAATATCAATGAAGAAAGACGATTCCTTTTTCAAACGATGGAAGACATGTCGGTTTCATAAACCATAGTGAAAAAATGCGCGTGATCGAAATATACACCCCGTTCTTATTCCGCGGTTCCGGCTCGCGATTGTGCGTTACCGTCGCTCGACTTCGAGACGTGAAAGAGGAAGGTGCGCGTTCCTCCTTTTCGCTGATTCCCTCTGCGCCTCAATCTCCAATGGCGACGCAAAGGACAAAAAAGTGCGAGACCGACTGTAAAATTTACGAGACCTAACTCGCTCTCTTCGCGACGCTCTCATCGGGTGAAACGTTTAACGATCGTCGCACGGTGACTACCAACGAGATTCGGCGATATTTACGACGATCCATTTTTCGGGGAGGACATTGTGGAGTAAGGAGTGGGTGTGCGTGATGTGTCATCAACCGACGCGTAGCAGGCTTCCATATAAATAGTACTATATTTCACATTTTTTGTTACAATTCAATAAATATCTTTCAAGTTTTATTTACATAGGCGGCTAAGTGGGATGGGGTGGGTTTGGGAGGGGAAAAGGGTTCGCGAGGACGCGGAGGAATTAATAAGAGAGAAACGATTAACCCTTAACCATGGTCACGATCACTTTGATCAGAACGAACGCATTACTCAGCGCGCAAAAGATCTCGCGCGAAGAACGCAATGATTATCGAACGCGTTAATCCTTCAAGTGCCGCTGAGTTGTATGGCAGTGTCTGCGCGCGCGTGTATGTGTATAGGCATAGTTTTAAAAACTTGTTACAAGTACTGAGACGAGAACATTATCTTTCGTGGTGATTAGGGGAGGCTGCAAATTTTCGTTCCTTGTAATCTGCACCGTTTAGCGTTCACTGATTACGAACGTTCGTAAACGATTGTAGTATTTAAAGGGTCGAACGTGTAAAGTAGAAATTCTGACCTTTCGGTGACAAAGTTCTCCTACCACAGGTTAAAGGTTATCTTACGCGCGTCGGCTCAACATTGTAACTAGGCGTTACAGCGAATCGAAGCCGTAAATGACAATTCTCCTCGACTATAATCCTCTATATTAATAAGTGCTTCGCGCCAACAGTAAAAACGGAACTTGTCTCTAACGTCCAAATAATTATGGCACTAATTCGATGGTCTACGACCAATCACATGTTCACCATACACCACGTACACGCGCAATTACATTCGCGAGAATTGCTTCCACACACTGAATATATTCCGAACGTCGACATTACATGATCCTCAACATCGGGAAATGCAGCGCGTGCTTCTCGAGGATTCGGCAGCGCATTGTACGAGAACAATAACCAGAGGAAGTTATTCCCGCACATCGGCACGCCCCTCACGTCACTGATCTTTTAGTTAGACGTTGATCCTCGCGCGATCTTTGCATTACACAGACATTACATTATCAAACATGTCCATACGTATGGAAATCAGCGACGATGCGCCATCGTAGGAACGTGCGATGAGATTGCGAGATCAGTTGACGACTCGTATAACGAGCAGTCACAATGAAGTCGATCACTACAGTTTCTCCAAGGCGCGACTGTTCGTTAACAGTTCCCTGGTGAGTCTCCACACTTGCTTCGCGGCGTTCTCCAGACCGGTGGGTGATTTCCCTTTGAAAAGATCGAGATTCGGTAGGAAGTAATGCGGACATCTACGACACTGCAGGCAGGAAATCAATTGCAAAAAAATCCCATTTATTCGTTCGGCCAAACAGCCGTCCTCCCACTCCGTCTCGTGCGGGTGTTTCTCGCACTCGTATAGCAGCAGAGTCTTCATGTGATAGCTCGTGACTGGGTTTCCTGGCAGGTCCAGGTGCCGGTCCCTTAGGGTCTTCAGGATGCTGAGGCAACGTTTCCTACTCGCGCCTTGCAACAGTCGGTTCTCTGCGTCGATAAACGACAACGCCCAGGCGTCGCCCTCCATGGCGGACTGCTTGCCTTGTAGGCCTATGCATTCTTTCGAGAGCATGTCGAAGCCCTCCGCCTTGACCTCAGCAACGATATTCGGATGCGGCCAAGGTATGTGCGCGATGGGCCAGTGCGAGGCCGACCTCGGCCAGAGGCCGGCGCACTTGAACGCCGGCGTGATCTGCACCACGTATCTCTCTCGTATCCGTAGCTTCACCTCGGTGGTGTCGGCAATCATTTTCACCGAGTCCCGGTAAGTGCACTTGTCGCACGCTTGTGCCACTAGAGTCTGAAATCTCGAGCGTATTTTCCGGGCCGACAGGTAGCCGGACGCGGTGATGAACTCCACCCAGAGCGACATGGACCTCTTGCGTCCGTCGCTCAACTTCAACACCGCGCAACCCGGCAGGGTGCCGTCGTCCACGAAATTCAACACGCCCATCTGATTCAGGTAGATGACGATTTCGAATTCCGTCGGCGAGATCACGTCGAGGCCGTCGAACCGGCCATTGTAATCCGTTAGAGATGAGATAAATCTCGGTTCCTGCACCTCCACCTCTTTGAGGACGTCCTGCACCACTCGGCACACCTCTTGAATGGTTTTTGCCACCTGACTCTTCCTGTTCATTACCCGTTCGGTAAAGTACTTGTTGAACTGATAACGCATCCGGTTATGAGACGTCAGCATATCTGGCGGCACCAACATCGTGGACCGTTATAGTCCACGGATGGCTATTAGACGATCTGTCTCAGCTTTTCCGAATCATCGCATTGCCGCACCCTCGCGCCTAACTTTGTCGTTGCTTCACGATGTTTCCATCGAGCACTTTCCGAGCAATGTCTCGATCTTATTCAAGGAACGCTTGCGATGATTCCCACGTTTCAATTTCTTCTTCTTTATCCGAAATCCAATTGCTCCTTCCTGCTCAGAATGCACCGTGCATTGGAGACACGAACGAGGCGGCAGGAGGAAGTATCACGAGCGTCTCCGTACAGGAGCAGATTGCCGACTGCGCTCTTGTCTACCTCCTCCGCGTCACCCATCCTCCGTGGCCAGCAAGGACATACAACATAGTTAGCACGCCTCCTCCTTGCTGGCGCGTCCCCCAGCAAGATCTCTTGGCCAATGGGTAGCCTACCGTGCTGTATAGGCGTGGTTAGCTACAACAGACCGACAAGATCGATCCGACGCGTGCACACCAACAGTTCCAGCAACATTTACGTGTGACGTGAGGGATAGAGGGACGGAGATAACGCGAGGTAACCCTCGTGGTAGCCCTTCTTTCTCCCCATGAATTATGCAGGAACCGCTTGGTTTATTCCCCATCCGCGAAGGCTCGGTCCCTCCCTGCAGCCCCTTTAGTTATTCCGAAATTTTCGGCATGGTGGACCGCAATCGTGTCCGTGAGATAGAGTTACCTCAAAAGCTCAAAGAAATATTTTGTTCTTAACGGGTTAACGCGGGCGACGGTCGGTGCACGCAAAAAAATTATGTTGCATTCAAGTAAGTGTTACTTTTTTAAAGTATTTTATAAGTTTATATACTCGTAAATCTATCATAAGTTCATCATAAGTATAAAATTTATTTAAAATACATCCTGAATTTTTTCTAATAAAGTTTAGCATTTCTTCAGGAACATTAAATTAAAACAAAAATTCGGTTTGCTTACTACATAGAATCGAAACAAGTTCTTTGATAAAATTTTGTGATATTCTTGTAAAGAGAATAAATTTTTTCTTTTGAATGATAATGAGCTTTTCTAAAATTTATGATGAGTATATTTTAAGAACTGTTATCAAGAAAATATTCTTTATTGAAAATAACTGTTAACTACTTAAAAGAAGAAGAAAAGAACTGTAATAATCGCTTTTCTTAACGATAGAATATTTTTCTGTGTGTAGGTCATAAAGGTAACTCACTAACATAATCAATTGGTTGACGTTAGAATTATCAAGGAACGTTCAAATATTTTTCGATAGGAAAACACGAGTCTAGGAAAGTATCTTTAGTAGTCTTTAGTAGTTATGTTAATAAGGTGTTATCGCGGTTGATAACGCAGTCGTATATACCGGTGAAAAAAATCACAAAAAGTGAAACATGTTAATATTTATATAAACGACCAAATTGCAGTGAATTTCTGATACAGAATTAGAAGGTATCGATTAATTCGGTTTTCTACAGTCAATAAAGATCTTTGCTGTTCGTGTTATAGTGCAATAACGATTATCGTACGCACTCAAAAAGTGGTTGAGTATATAGTAAAACGAATGGCACCAACTAATGAATGCTATTGCCAGGAAAGGCAGACGCAAGACGTTAAGGATAAAATTAAGATAAGGACGTGATACTCTATGTAGGCGTATAATGAAGATGATAGTGTGCCTTGTGCTGCCAGCAAATCGCCCCAAGCTTCTATAACATGCATTTACTTATAAGTATTCGACATAATATTTGTGTATACATTATAACCTGATATACACAACATGTTATTCGCAAGAAACTCTTGCGAACAGAGAGCAAAGCGATCCTGCTGAAAATAAATTGTACAAGAAATTGTACATGAAACATGCTCGATCAATTGTTATAAAACACGACATTTAAGAATCGGGTGATGTTTAGTAATTTCTCTACAAAGTTCATCAAGTTAGATAATTTTTCTCCAAGATAGCAACAAAATATGTTACAATTACTCCACGTTAGCACTTTTGTAAGATAGATCGAAGCAAATCGAATCATAGAATCAAATAAAAATAAGACTTGAGACAGTTATCATTAATTGTTTTGTTTCAAACGACCTGTTTTATCATGCTAGTTGGCACGATAAAACAGCTTATTTGAAACAAAGAACTTGACTCAAATCTTATTTTGATTTGCCCTGTGATCCGATTCGCTTTAGTATACTCTGTAACAAAAATATTACAATTGTGTAGAAATATAATTGTAGATTAAAATATTATAAAAATAATGCTGAATCACAAAAAATAAAATATTTTTACCGGAAAGAGGAACTACTATTTTTTTATATATTTCGACATGTTGAAACCGAAAATGACGCTTAAAATAATGTAACGCATCAAGTTTATAACAGGCAAAAATGTGCAAAATGAAACATTTTTCATATTCTATATAGGATATGCTGTAATTAAATTTTCTTAGCTTAAAAATAACATACATACGGGGTGCTTCATTTCCGTGAATTCTCTTTGCCTCTCATGTATGGAACGTTAATGATATATATATATATATATATATATATATATATATATATACATGAGAGGCAAAGGGACTGTCACGGAAATCAAACACGTCGTAACTTAATACCCTGCTTATTAAAAGTTTTATATGGTTCAACATATAAATGTACGTGATTATTGCTTTCAAGCTAATCACAGTAAATTTAATCACAGTATGCATATCTTATGTAGAATATGAAAAATGTTTATTTTTTAGCCGTTTTTGTCTGTTATAAACTTAATATGCTGCGTTATTTTAAAGGTTATATTCGGTTTATTCAGCACGTCGGAATACATAAAAAATAATAATTATTCTTTCCGATGAAAAGATTTTTTATCTTTTTGTGATTCTGTGTAATTTATTAAGTTGTATAAGTACTCTAAAACATAATCAATATATTCTTCACTGAAGTACCGTACTTGTAGCTAATGGTTCCATTACTAGGACAGTACTGCAATCAGTAAAATCTCGTCGAAAGGGTCGATTAATAATAGCGGCTATTCCAATTAATGATATATTTTGCAAACACAGACATTCTCATTGCATACAAGGGACATAATATAGCGTATAACGAATTTGTGTATGACAGATTTTGCAGTGAAATATTACTTCCACTAGTCGTCATCAGTGAATTGATCATCGGTGAAATATTCTTTTTGCTTTTTTTATGTATTCCGACGTGCTGAAACCGAATATGACCTTTAAAATAACGCAACATGTTAAGTTCTTGTTATAAAAAATGAAAACAGCACCAAATTAAGCATTTTTCATATTCCACATAAATCATGCACACTGTGATTCAATCGGAAATATTTTCACTGATTCACCTTAAGAGAATATGATAACTTGAATCTTTTAATTTCAGTTTGATGTAATTGCAAGGCAAGTATTTTGTCGCTTTATTGAGGGTAAACGTTCGCTTCGTTGAAGGTGATAAATGCATTTATTTATTTAATATTTACATTTTATGTTTCTCAAATAATGTGTGACCCAATAATAAAATAAATAATATTTAAATAATATAAAAGAAAAATATGTACATGTACATGTAACAATGAGTACTCTAACTATCATCGGTAGCTTGCCGCTAACCGATTATAAATATCAGATCAATAAAGACAACAAATCACATTTTTCATCATAAACATGTAATTATATTAATAGTTAATTAAAATATATTGCATATTTTAAATACTCTCGCAAGTAACTTAGAGTGCAAACACGGATTAATCTTATTAAAATATACGTTTTAAGTGTCAACGTTCGTTGGCAGAAGTTTTGTACGGAACGTTGCAAAATATTCAAAAAAGATATCGTATCTTGCAAATTTATCCAGAGATGATATCGGAGTTATATTATTTTTAATCGTTAGATCTAACAATTAGCTTTCTGATCGCTCATAACCACAAGTTTCTCTCGCTCCAATTCTGGGTGCGTTTTTCACATGACGATCTTATTGTTATATTTGTTTAATTTTCTTCGAAATTTTCCGCTGTATCTTATTGCAATTGTAATTTTTATATTCGCAATTTGATATAATCGCAATTAATAGACGCAATAATTATCATCGGAGTAAAGAATCGCAAGAGATAATTTATTTTAACTGAACTAATCGGACAATCGGTATGTATTGCAATTTGCATTACAGCTTCGTCAATTCTGCATCGTCAGGCAGTTTAACTTTCACGCGACTACTTGAACCGGGGAAGAGAGTTACAAATGAAGTTAAAAACCCGGTTACTCATTTGAAAACTATTATTGCTCGTTAAATCACGATTGCTTCTGAAAGGAAAACGAGTACGACTCAAAGTGGCTCGCGTGTCGAAAGTCATTTCGTAACAAATGCACCGTCCCTAAGCCCTTGATACAAGCGTGTATTAAGTAATAGCAGTAACTGCAATACTGTTTCGCGTGTAGTATCGGAAAAGCGCGTAATATCATGCGACGGCGATGTTCCCAAAGTCCCGTTACACGTGTCATCGAGCGATTTCCGGCGTGTCACACGTCCTATAGTGGTAAATTCGGGAAGGAAGACGCTAAAGCTTTTCCAGCGCGCGGCTGTTTGTAAGTAGCTCCCTCGTAAGTCTCCAGACTTGCTTCGCGGCATTCTCCAGACCGCTGGGCGACTTTCCCTTGAAAAGATCGAGATTCGGCAGGAAGTAGTGCGGACATCGGCGACATTGAAGGCAGGATATCAGCTGCAGGAAAATGCCGTTAATACGATCGGCCAAGCACATCTCGTCCCACTCAGTCTCGAGGGGATGCTTCTCGCACTCGTGCAACAGCAACGTCTTCATGTGATAGCTGGTGACAGGATTGCCGGGCAGATCAAGGTGCCGGTCCCGCAGGGTTTTCAGTATGCTCAGACATTTCCTGCGGCAGCCGCCCTGCAACAGCCTGGTTTCCGCTTCCGTGAAGGATAACACCCAGGCGTCGCCCTCCATGGCCGATTGTTTGCCCTGAAGCGCCACACTTTCCTTCGACAGCAAGTCAAAGCCTTCCGTCTTCACTTCGGCCACCAGATTGGGATGCGGCCACGGGATGTGCGGTATCGGCCAATGCGCCGCTGATCGCGGCCACACGCCGGAGCACTTGAACGCCGGCGTGATTTGCACGACGTAGCGCTCACGTATCCGCAGTTTCACCTCGGTGGTATCGGCGATCATCTTCACCGAGTCCCTGTAGTTGCACTTGTCGCAAGCCTGCGCTACCAGAGTTTGAAATCGCGAGCGTATCTTGCGCGCCGACAAGTAACCAGACGCGGTGATGAACTCCACCCAGAGTGACATGGACCTCTTGCGTCCGTCGCTGAGCTTCAGCACCGCGCAGCCCGGCAGGGTGCCGTCGTCGACGAAGTTGAACACTCCCATTTGATTCAGATAGAGGACTACCTCGAATTCACCCGGTGAGATCACCTCGAGGCCCTCGTAACGACCGTTGCACTCTGTCAGCGACGAGATGAAACGCGGCTCTTGCACCTCGACCTCCTTCAACACGTCTTGCACGACCTTGCACACTTCTCGTATAGTCTTCTGCACCTGGGCCATGCGTACTTGCACCCGCTCGGTGTAGTACTTGTTCATCTGGTACAACATTTTCGAAGTGCCGCCCATGATATCCTGTGGAACCAACATCATGACGAGACTGTCCGCTTCCGATGATTCTGAGAACGTTCCTGCGTTTCGGCCGAGCGAATCTCATTCTTCCGTCCGCGTACTCACTCACCGATCAACCTGTCATCGTTCCTGTCATCGTATATAGTTTTCCCAAGCATGATACGCGACGGGGAGTGGGGGGATGTCCGCACAACAATCGTGTCACGTCGATCTTGTCTAAGTTTTCGTGCCGAGGGGAGAGCACCGCTGAAAACTCGCGATCTCGCAAAAGAGCTCGCGCCGAAACGTGTCACAGATGAACGAACGTCGTGCGTGCCTAATCGTGCGGCAGATGTACGTGCAACGAGCGCAACTCGAGGTGTCTCGCGCGCGCGACGACAGAGAGAACGTTGCTGACCACCGGCTCGTTCCACTGCTGTTGTAGTTGTATGCCCTGTTCCCAAGTCCCGCCTCCGAAGCGACAGGGTCACGTGGAGCGTGCGCGTTGTTACCACGCCTCCTGTCGTTCTTGGGTTCCTCCACCACTGTGTCGTTCCTTCTGCCGCTCACCGCACCGTCGCTATCGATAGGCAGTGATAAGCCCTGCGGTTGCGAGACCGCGCGCGAAGCTCCATCACTACTGATATTTTCACTTCCAGATATACCTGTAATCCAGTTAACGCAACTTTACACATGCCTCGCGAAATTTGTATACGCGCAAACTGGTGTAGAAATCTTCTCATGTTTATCCCATTTATTGTCGGATTCCAATAATATTTTCTTAAGAAAGGAAAACTAAGAAAATTCCGACCTGTTTTTGGTATATTCTTGAATTTTCTGAGTAATTCCTGGTCAAGAACTCGTATATTTACGCACGAAAGTATATATAAATGTCTGATTATTGAACTCGAGTTCTAGTTGATAATTCTTAGGTACGTGATGATTCTAATGCCGCCTAGAAAAATCGGGGAAAACTAGACAATACGTATAGGAATCCCCTAAATATAATACCTTATTTTATGCAATCATTAGTAGAAGTATCTTTAACTCATTCAACTTTTCCATGCAAATTCTGTCTTTATAAGTGTATAAAACGAGGTATTACACTTAACATTCCTATACGTGTTTTCCTAGTTTTTACATACATATACATATACTGTGTACATCTATGTTAAATTTAGATATAAATCTAAATATATAATTAAAAAATATATCGACGAAGAGAGAGAGAGAGAGAGAGAAACCGGTTAGTAAATCCGATTGAATTCATATCTATTTTTCTAACTAATATCCCTATTAAAAGTGGGACGTTTTCCAATTGGATTTAGATGAAGCTTCCCGATCTTAGCAATAAATAAAAACCGAGTAGATCTCTGTTTATATATATTTCCACAAGTTCTGTTTGCATAATTATTTTTTCTATTACCTATGAACAAAATAAAAACTTAGTTATAAGAGATTTTAATATTCTATTTAACACCTATTTTGATACTTTGAAGTCTATATCAGTCTCTGTTAATTCTATTTAATCCACTAGTTTTGTCGAAAGATTTTCTTTAGAACCTAAATGGCATTCTTTGCATTTTCTGCCATTTAGTTCTTTAGAATATACAGATGTTAGAAAATTCAGATCCATAGCTGAAAGCTATAATAGCTATAAGCTAAGTTAAAATTTCGATTCAAGTAAAGAAAGATCCTTGTAAGAAGTCTCAACTGAATTTTAACGCCGAATATTCAGACTGATGTTTTCGGTCACGATAATTGAGATGTTGTTTCTTATTATCTTTTCATCTTGTTCCTATTCAGTTACATGAATTTTTTTCTAAATAGAAACTTTTTTATATGAAAATGAATTCGTGTTAAACTCATTTATACTTTTCCTGCTTTAAATAGTCAATCTTTAAATAGAAAGTCTTAAAGAGTCTTTAAATAGAAATCATATCTGTTATGTATGTATACTTTGTTACATACAAAAGAAATGTTGAATGATGCGAAACAATGGCGAGAGAACAATCAAACTCGGAAAAATGCATGGATACTGTCTAAAGGGACTAAAAGGACTTTTAGTTTGGAACTGCCCAAGTCGGCAGTCGGTCTATATTAGTAAGAGACGCACTCCGCAAATAGATGAGCAGTTCGCGCGATTTCACGGTATGATAATTACAGCCAAGCCAGACGATAACATTCACATACACAAAGATGTTGAAACGATTATTTGGACATTGGTATAAAAGGCAGAAAACGTAACGACATCTTCCGTTCACGACCACACACACGAATGCAAATATGCAGCTTCGATGGAACGTATGTACACACAAATAGGGGCAGGTGTACGCGACGAAAAATAGCTTACAAACGCGAGATACTGTGTCCCACAGCTTACCTTTTATGCGATGATCGTAAAAACTCACACCACAAATATCCGTCGAAGAATACCGATCTGCCCCCTGCGGGTACATCAGATATTTCAAGCGTAAGATTTCGCCGATTAGCTTCCGTATCTCCAGGAACCATCATTTTCCACCCGTTTTTTATTCAACCCTTTGCGATTGAACAGAAGACTGAAGGACAATGTCAACGTGTTTGCTACGTTGAAATTTTTCTTCTCGAATCAATACCTTCTCGAAACAATACCTCAGCAATAATCAGAGCAAATTGTGCAGCAGTTCTAACGGTTGGAACAATCTTGCTGAATAGCTTTGTGACTAATACGCGTTGCCTCCGAATGACAACATATCTTTGCTACCTTCGACGTGGCAATCAGTATCTTCTTCGATTTTTCTTCCCTTAGAGTGCTCGAGAAAATCTCTAAAATTTATTGAAATTTCTTTTATCCTTCTTTGAAAATCATAATTTTTTGTGAATAACAAATTATTAAATGTTTTATTTTTAATGATTTGTAAAATAAAAGCCCTAAGAGAGGAACGAACTTTTTGGACCTCAGACACAAATTATTCTGATTGTCATTCGAAAGGTTAAATATGTACCTCTTATATACAGAAAGAATGGTTTTTTTGAATTTAACACATTTTATTAGATTCAAATAAATTTATCTATTGAAATAGTCTAAATAAATCAATTGGTGATCTATCAAATATGATTATTTGACTTTCTACACAATACACAAACAATAATTTCAAAAAATATCTTTACCTTAAGCAAAATATTTTTTTTTATAGAATGACATTTTGAATGACATATTCAAAATATCAACTGATTTCATTAAAGCAATATATAATTTTTCCAATAATGGTATTTCTTATTTCTAATAGTAATTTTAACTTATTTCTAATAAGTATAATATAAGTATTTTTTGTTCTAAGTAATTTTTATTCTAAGTAATTTTTTTCTCGTCGAGAGCACTTATCTTTTCCGCGTCCAAATAATTTATTATAGATTGAATATATACTACAAACAAGATAATATACAATAACAATTGACATACAATGACCGATACACAATGGATTCGTTAATATTCATGACGAGTTATCACGTCAAATAATTGTAGACACTGAGATATTACTTATATGGAACGCGTATTACCGTACAGTAAGATGTGACACGTAAAAGAAGCAGCTAAATGTTCTTCCATCTTTATTTAAATCACTCAAACATTACAATGGTTGTCACAAACAATAAGTTATTCGAAAAAAATAACGCTTTTTACTATAGAATGTTTTCGTCTCATTGGAACGATATTTTATCTAATAATTTTATTTATTATTTGGTTGAAAAATAAACTTTATTTTTTTTTTAAGTAATAGTATTCCAATAAACAACGTGGTTAGTTTAAATTTAGATTTAGAATTTAGATTTTTAAGTAAATATGTTATTAAAGATAAAGAGAGAGAGAGAGAATACCTACCAGAGAAATATTTATTATTTGAGATATTTTTTCTTAGTCTATATATTTTTTAACCTTTCTCCTCTCCTTTTATTCGACCAACTCTCTACCGTACTTCATTGTCCAACTCATCGTGTATGCTCCAATGAGCAAAGCTGCAAAGCGAAACGGCGAGTTATGTACCGGAGAGTCGCGCCACGTTCAATTCGCGCTCCTCGTTCATGGATAATCGAATAAAGCTCGGGAATCCAATCTACTTCAAGTTGGAGTGGTAGATTGGTACCCGGCGGTCCCCACTTTGCTCTCGCTAATACGACTTGATTCATGAGCCGAGCACGTGTGTCGTACTCGCTCTGTCTCGTTCTACTCGTTTCGCTCTCCCATCTCGCGCGTTGGTGCGCCGAGGGGTCAAACGTTCTGCTACATCAGCCCTCGCATTAAGGCAAAACCCGGGGGCTCCTTCCATCCTAAATGTGCCTTTCATCATCTCATTTCGGCTTGATTCGTTTATCATCTAAATTATTTGTACACCGATGTTTCTCGCGGCATGACGTAAGGAATGACGTTCTGCGAAATTATCTCTCGATCGAACTCTGTCCGATACTCGGAAGATTCGCCAGAAATATTAACACCAATACATTTATTCGTATAATATTAATACCATTAAAAAAGAGAGGGAATTCTCGGAAGAGATCGGAATTTCTAAATTTTAATTCTCGAGAATTCTAGAAATTAGACATATATTTTGAAAAATTAAATTTTCAAATAATGTTGACAGACCTGAAAAATCTCTTTTATTGTGATTCTTCAGAGAATAAAAAAATACTAGCAATTTGATATCCCTGAAGCAAAGTCGAGCGATCGATGTACACCAAAATATATTTCGCCCTCCCCAGTATTCCGCACACAATAAGCGCGAGCAGTACTTATACTTCTGGTTTACATTCCGTAGACTCGTGTTTCCATTGTGTAACATTTCTATCGAGGATCGTAGCGCATCTTCTGGGGCGGCCACCGGGTCTATACAGACGGTACGTCGAATCGACCTTGTAAATCAGCTCGAATGAACATCCCCGAGTAAATCCCGGATAATCCGGGCCTCACTCGTTGAGCTTCGGCAGCCGGCAGACAGACAGTCTGCCGAGACTATGGAATACACATACCGGTCTCCTTGGGAAATGGCACGGAAAAGAGATTTTTTTCCAGACATCGCGATTTTATTTTCGGAGGAATCACCACGATCACTAGATAAATCCATCACGGGAAAAACTGCGCGAATCGACCGATCGAACGAAAAACAAAGTTATCTGTAGCAGCAAGGATTTGCGTGTTTTAACTCGTTTTAACATATGAATATCTAAAAGTAAAGCCAGGAAGCATATATAATATTTAACTATAAAGCAGATGTATAGTAACAACTAAAGTAGCAAGAGTAGCAGAAATTTTATTATAACAGTATTATAACATTTTTAGTTACACAAATAGATACATTTTCAGCAAATCATGATTAACTGCGGCATTAAAATGTTCTTTTCCGTGTATTATACTCAAATAACGATCTTGTTTTAGTCATGTAAATCACTCATTAAGATAATTGACTCGCAACAATACCGTTAAAAAAGTAATGGCTAATACAACACGGAAAACGGTCACAAATTTGTGCTAAATGTTTATATGCGCTAAATACGATATATAATATACAGTTTTGTCGCTATCATTAAATTATGTCAATTAAACTTATATAAAGTTTAAAAATTCATAAAGAAATAATCGTTTCTTGCGCTTTATATACACACACTAATGCA